ACAATGCCTGCCAGCCAATCTAAGTTGGCGAAAGTAATAGCACCTACTTCGGCTTGAAGTTTCAGGGCCCTAATAAAACTGAGAACAGTATCAAAATGGCGTCGGTGCAATGCAATTGAATTGTTATTAAATTATTTTTTTTCTTACTTTCTTCCTTTTCACGGAGTTTATTTTTTTCCACAAGAGTAACGAGTTTCATTTTATTTTTCAAATTTAATCTGACCTTTATTATTGTGAAGCGTGGTGACAAAATGAGATGCTTCTCGCTAATCGCGAATGGCTAAAAATCAACACATTGGTCAGCTATCAAATGACAACATTTTCTTCAAGTTTAACATAATTTCTTTTATTATTTTCACCATTTGACTAAACCGAAAAAGTTGACCTATTATGACTATGGGGCTCATATCGAGAAGTAACTCATTTTATCAGCATGCCTCGCACTATTATCATCTAACGGCTTTCACTTGTTTTTTTTTAGTACCGTGCAGAATATGGACAGAGTAAATAGTGAGCCCAGACTCATAAAAAATATCGGGCAATACTGGCTATCAGGCCATTTGGTATGTTGTCACTGGGTTGTGCCCTTAAACATGGCACGATGGCAAAACTTGGTAAACAAGATCATGTGCAGTGGTGACCTGTACTAACGCGCATGGTTTTTTTAATTAGTTTTAGTAAGAGTTTAACGGCACTTGCAACGCAATAACGTTGTATTAATATGAGTACCAAAGATTTGAGGTGTTTCAAGAGAGTAACAAAAAAGAACGAGGAGAGATAAGGATGAAAGATGCTTGATAGGAAAGACGGAGCAAACCAAACCAGAGAACCCGTCAACTAAAAATGTAAAATTGACAGCTGTATTGGTAGGGTATTGTCATAATATTTATTATGATATTTGTGCAACCCCTGACCCTATGATGTGCTCATTGTAGCTCACTTGCCATTGTAACCCAAATTTTCCCAGGGAAACAATAATTAGATGTGATGACTAACGTAGTTGAACATGTAGTTACTTTCCACGGTGGATCATGGGAAGTTTGACGCCGAGGCATTACTTTAAGATCAATTTATTGTTCACATTGTAATGCTGTCAATTTGAGGATATGAGACTACTAGTTTGAAAAGAGGGAGGGAAAGGTTGAAGTGAGGTGGGAGACAATAAAGTGAGGCACAGGGTAGATCTAGGTCTGTCTGTGTGTGTGTGGGGAGGGAGGTGGGGCTTGGATCATTATACTCTTTAGAAAATACCATTCTACATAATCTGGTAATTGAAGATCAAGTTCCAAAGCACATTATGTAATTTGTACGGGAGTCTGCGATGTAGCAGATTGACGCTTCACCCTCACACGCAGGAGACCAGAGCTCGATTCTCGTGTGGGGAAAAATTCTTTCTGCTAGGACAATGTGTCAATCTTTCTCGTAAGCCCAGATTGACCCTGGCAGGTGGGGGTTTAAACCCACCTCGAAAATGATCAAAATGTAATGTCGACAGGGGTGTAAAACACCTTCCTTAAAAAGAGAGAACTGAAGCTTTTTGGGTAATTGTGTTTTGGCTATTTTAATGTGCAGTTTGACATTGTATGCTTTGAAAATAAGGCCAGTATCGTCACAAGGAAGCGTAATTTTTTTTACTGTATCCAACTGTCAACAAAGGATCGCACCGCAACACTGCCGTATTCTGAGAGACTGAAAAAACTAAAGCTTCCATCCCTGGAACATCGTAGGTTACGTGGTGATATGATAGAAACGTACAAGTATATCAAAGGCTACTACATCACTGAAATACCAGCGTTTACAAAGGCAACAACCTCTGGCAACTCAGAGAAGCTCCAGAAGCAAAGAAACAGATTGTGTGTGAGGGCAAACTTTTTTTGAGAATAGGGTTAATACTATTTGGAACAATCTTCCCGAATCAGTGGTGTCAGCTCCAAGCGTGGACACCTTTAACAGACGTCTGGACGAATACTGGAAAGATCTCCCAACTATTTACAACCCCAACTGCCAAAACTGATTTGTCTAGCCGGCACGTAATCCATTATTGTCGTTCTTTACCAGATAGTTGAACAGGCTCTAGATCTAGATCTACTTAGAGCCTGAAACAACTAAATCGTCAATGTCAATGTATTATTTATTATGATAATTATCGCCTTTTGCAACCTAGACTAGGCGCCTAGATCTCTAGATCTTCTAGTTGGTATTTTTGTTTGGGGAGTCAAAGGATGGGGTGGCTTTAGAACAAATAAAGAATGACTATAAGAAGCAATTTACCTTGCAACTGGGCAAATTGAAGATGAATCGTCATTGCAGCCTAACCTGAAAGTGGTACACCGAAATACGTGTGTTTCCCACTTCCATATTGTTGTCGTTTCAAACACGGTTCAAGATGGTTCTTTTTATGTTATGCGTTGAACGTCACTTCTTTTTACGCACAGCTGCACAATTCTGCAAATTATATTTGAGATGACGTCAATGCATTATGCGCAATGATTTATTACAACAGAGTTGGTACAGCTTTCAGAGTTTATAATTTATAGTCTCTGGGGTTGTTTTTTTTGTCTTTAAAGTATTTTTTTAAATTTTATAAAAATGATAGATCAATGCCTTGTCTTGTCTCAGGATTCGATAATTGCCACTATAATAATCACTTTGTAATATCGCAGGCGGCTGAAGTGCACCACTGGTAGTTCCTTTTTTTTTCATTTCCTTTATTGTTTTGTCTGTTTTTTGCACTGAATGACTTGTATAGTGCCGATGTGTTTTTCTTAACTAAAAACAAACCGAGCCAAATAAAAGTACAGCCATCGTTACTCTCTCCTCACCAATTGCGGATACAAGAGACACATCTTCCAAATAAACAGGTCACAGTGCCAATATCGCTACTACAGTACTGTCACTAACGGTAGGCTTTCTACTACGGCTACATCTACCGCCATTGACAACAACATTAATAATAATAGTAATTGAAAACGATATTTTCAATGATAATAGTAATGATTTTCATGTGGACAATTATAGTTATCATTAAAGGTGTGACGATAATGAGCAGGAGAAGAAAGAGGAAGAGGCCACTAAGGCCAACCAGAGTTGAGAGAAATACAACCTTGTCAAGCCAGCAAGAAGACCGAAATACAATAATACTGTACTCAGTACTCAATAATACTGTACTCAGTACTCAATAAGAATCCTCCCTTCACGGAAATCGAGCTGGGGTCTTCTGCGTGTGACGACGACTCGCCTAACCACTACAACACAACAGACGTTTTCTGTTCTGAAAAGCTGGAACTGGTATAAGGTCCCATAATAATAATAATAATGGATTGCATTTATATAGCGCATATCCACTTATGCAATGCTATATGCGCTTAACATGATACATATTATGGGTTTACAAATCAATTTTAAAGGTGCATAGTGTTACATACTCATGCAAACACATATTCACTCACGCACGCACCACACACACATACATACACACATACACACATACGTACATCTACAGCTTGGATGCATTGTGTCTAATCGAAATATGATGAAAATAGAAATGATTTTAGTTTCTTCTTAAAAATTTCTAGATGATTTTAGTTTCTTCTTAAAAATTTCTAGATTTTCCAAACAAGTGGGGCAAAATATGAAAAAGAGCGTTGGCCATATGATTTGTAATTTATTTTAGGCTTAGCAAGGGTTGTTTTGTTACTTGATGATCTGAGCGTTCTAGGAGGCACATAGGGTGTTAAAAGCTGTTTTAGATAGTCCGGTGATAAATCATTTAAGTACTTGTAGCAAGTTAAACAGATTTTATATATGATACGCTCTTTCACCGGGAGCCAGTGTAATGCTTTTAAAATAGGAGTCACATGCTCATGCCTTAGTTTTTTAGTAATTATTTTGGCAGCAATATTTTGTACTCTTTGTAGTTGTTGTAACTGTTCATCAGGTACACCAGCCAGTAAGGAATTGCAATAATCAATCCTTGACAATATAAGTGATGTTATTAAAGTTTTGGTGACACCAACAGATAGCTATATTCTAAGGCTCCCTATTTTCTTCAGCTGGAGATATAGATTTTTACAAAGATTGGATACATGGTATTTCATTGACCTATCTTTATCTAGCACCACACCTAAATTTCTTATTTTAGTTTGGGCTGATATTTCGTGGCCATTGATGTTTATTCTGATATTGTCGATTTCATTGCATGCGCTGCTACGAAGAAATAATATTTCGGTCTTATCCTCATTTAATTTTAATTTGTTCTTGAACATCCATTTTCTTATAGCATTGATACATCTGGCGATTCTATCTATGAGATTGTGTACATTGTCAGTTGTAATGTGAATAACAGAGCTGCTGAGTTAATACGTAAAACGAAACGATTGAAGAATATAGAGATGTGATCCTGAATAAAGTTTAACGAGGAATTAGTTAAACCACAAAATTATTAACTTTAAAAAGAAAATGAAAATAGAACGAAATGAATCACTAGATTCATAATATATAAATATAGTAGAAGGAACGTCAGAACATTTATTTAAAACACTTTGAAAGGAGCCAAAACAGACGTGTAATAACATGTTCTCATGGAATCAAAATAGTATGGAAGCTTCTATCACTTTTAACAGATTGGTAAATCTTCAGTGAATTAGAGTAATCACACCTAGATCTATTCCCTTTTTATGTCTTCCATCTGCAACCCCCCCCCCCCCCCCTAAGAAAGTGTCTTCCTAGGGGTCTAATGAATACCCAAAATCACCTTGATTTAGTGTAAGTTTATAGTTTATGGTCTAGTTTAATGCAGAAAGATGCTACTGATGCGAGGCCCCCCTTTTAGATCAGTTAGTTCCAGTCAGGTTGGACTTCGGAGCGTATGGCCTTCGCTGGAATCCGCAATTTGGGTTGCTTTGGGGAGTTTTTAAGGCTCTGTCTACCCATTTGATTCGGTACCGTCGGGGATGGACGTGAAACCCAAGAGTTTCAGGCTGTTATACTAGCTTACAGTGTTGAAAGTGGCGGCAAACCTTTAACGTGACTAACGATCAATGCTTCTGATATTGTAATTCTGATTCATTTCCACAATTAAGTACATATGTTTGTGTGTGTGTGTGTGTGTGTGTGTGTGTGTGTGTGTGTGTGTGTGTGTGTGTGTTTGTGTTGTGTTGTTGTTGTTGTTGTTGTTGTTGTTGTTGTTGTTGTTGTTGTTGTTGTTGTTGTCGCCTTTGTTGTCGCCGTTGGTGTTGTTGTTGTTGTTGTTGTTGTTGTTGTTGTTGTTGTTGTTGTTAAACTTGATTTCTTCGCTGTTTGATTTGTTGTTGTTTTTAAACTTGCATTAAATTAATTTTAATTTAAAGCTCACAGTAAAAGAGGACCTGGTCAATTCAAAGTGTCTTTACTTATCATTGATGACATAATAATATATTTATAAATTGTTGTTTATTTTACAATGGAAAAAATAGTTGAGCATTTAAAATGAATATGTTATATATAGTTTTTTTCAGATCAAATGTACACATAAGAAATACAAATTCCACTTAGCAAGTTCAAATGCCACATAGAAAGTTTCACGCCACCCAGAAAGTTCAAATGTTCAATAGGAAATTTTAGTGCACGATTGTGCGTAACAAATCAAACGTACAAATAGCAAATCCAAAAGTGAAGGGGCCCTTACACGATAAAAAAAGTCGTCAACATTTAGATTCAAAATTTTGACATCAAAATTTTGAATCGAAATTTGATCGTGTGTAGGCTGTTTTGATGTCCCAAAAAATTTGATATTTTTTTGATGAGTTGTCAAATTTTTATACAAGCTATCAAATGTTTTATTTGCTTGTGGGCTCGAGTCACAATTTTGATCAAATAAATTTCTGTTTCCTATTTGACAACCAAGACGACAGGACAAGAAATAAAATAAGACATCACAATGTCTTCAAAGAAAGAGAATGAAAAGACATTTTCAATAGAGCTGCTTGAGGTGTATCAGACATTGCCGGCACTGTGGAAAATCAAGTCGGAGGACTATCACAACCGGTTTAAAAACGCTGAATCCTACAACACCCTTTTAAAGAAATATCAGGAATTTTTTTAACAAGGATCAATAACTGAAAAAAAGCAAAACAATGTGCGAACAAACTTTAGAAACGAGCTACGAAAGATCGAGAAAAGTTCAAGATCAGGAGCTGGCAGTGACGAACTATACGAGTCAAGTGCGTGGTTCATGTCTGCGATGATGTTCTTAAAAGACCAAGAGACCCCTGCCAGGTTGAGAAGTACCCTGCTGGATGTAAGCAACACTGAACAAGACACAATTGATGTAAGTAAATTGTATTTATTATTGTCCCCCAATTTCATCTAGCCATGAAAACTGCAATTGATCCATAAGCCCAGAAAATCTTGACATTCTGTTCCAGTTGATCACTTTGAAGTCAACCCTGCACCAAATCGCGTTCAGCTTCATTTTATCCATTAACCATACACAGGCCACACAGTCTCATTTAGATGCCCATAAAGTCTGTTTGTAGGAAATCATTACGCAATTCTGGCATCTTGCCATGGAACTTGTCCTTGTGTGCAAAAGCGTTGACGGTAGGAATCTCGTACACCGTGTACCACCGCTCCAATGTTTCTACTTCTGCATGTCCTCAAACTTTCAATTAGATGTTGTTCTTCTCGCCAGTCAGCTGGGTGGATCTCGTGATCAGCATCTTCCCAGTCCACACTCCCAGCTCTCAAGTAGTGTTTTGGTTTGTTTCGAAGAAAATTGTGCAGATAACAGTACCCCAAACCTGGTGGACAGTATCCCAAAAGCATTTCTGACACCCGCCTCGCTCTGCTCAAGCGATAGTTGAACACGCGTTGGTCATGATCTAATTTGTCTCCTCCGTATGACTTTAACAGATTTTCTGTCATTACAAATGCATCATCTGCGACGAAAACAAACGGCATTTCGCTTCCGTCCTGAATGATTGGCTCTGGTTCCGAAGGTTCAAAGCGGCTTCTTTAAGGCGTCAGCGGAATTCAGTCACTGCTACCACTCCTCCATCTCAAACGCGCCCATTGACTCCTGCATCGGCCATAATGAATTCATAATTGGCATTGACAACTGCCATGAGTACGATGCTGAAGAATTTCTTGTAATTGAAGTAAAATGAACCGGATTCGACAGTTTGTTTTTTTTTAAATAGCAATGTGCTTTCCATCTATAGCTCCTAAGCAGTGCGGAAAATTCCAGGTCGACTTGAAGGCTTCACTCGTCAGTCTCCATTCTTCTGGTGTTGTTGGAATCTGAAAAAAATGAATTAAATCTTGTTATTAAAAATTTAAAAACTTACGATTGTTGAAATATCGATGCCAAACACGGTCTTATCAAATTCGTGTGTGATTCTATTGCAGGATGTAGGCTGCCCACAAGAAAGTACTTAAGATGGAGAAGCAGAAGACAGCGAGGAGTCATCTACATCTACAACGATAACACGCCCACTGCCCAAACCGACAACGCCGTCATCCTCCAATCAGTCTATGCCTACTATTACAACTATCAGAAAACGAAAATCGGCCCCGGAAGCCGAGAAAGCGAAGCTCCTGTCGTTGGCCAAAGCACGCTTAACTGAAGCCAAGACCTGGGCACATGAATTGAAAAGTATGGATCCCAGGCAACAGCTGTGGGCGAAGAAAGCCATAAATGACATCTTAGTTGAAGGCCGATGCGGAACGCTGCACAAACATTAAGTCCAAATTAATTGTGACACTCGCACACCGCACAGCAGTCGATGCAGTACACCATATTCTTCTTCTCTTGGTCACTACCAACCTCAGACGGAATCTGCCTCCTTCTTGAAGAATGACCAAGGCGGACACTTTTTGCAAGAGCCAAATGAATGCATTGAAAACCAAAGCAGTCTCGCTCAGTTTTTCAGCAATTTAAACCCTGACGTTTAAGAAGATTCTGAAAATCGACATTTATGGTTTGCATTCTGCTTTTGTGTTTTGCTTAGATTCCCTGATTTCTTTCATGTGTCATATCATACCAATGTCACTTCATTTTGATGTTCAATACTTTGGTTCAATAATAAACTTTCAAATCTCAAAAACAGTTGCAGTTTTCAAAAACATCATGTTGAATTTGTCATTACATTTTCATTTTAAAAAGGCATTGATTTATAAAATGTACAGGTGTGCCCACCCTCTTGATTCCTGGGGCTAGTTAAAGAGTCTTATTTTTAAACTTCCGCCATGAAGCTTCCTTTTCTGTTATAGCGTTGTCACACAGTTCTTAAAAGACAAAGACCAACACATTAACAACAGTATCGTACAATGTAAATTCACCTCACCTTTATAACCCCCTGACGCTTCAGACAAACGATAATGGCCTCGCATGTTTCGATGACCAACTTTCCTATCGCATGTGGCAATGTTGCTGTCAGGAACTTCAAGTCTTCAAAGGAATTTCCAGACGACAGGTACCTCAGTGTGATGGACAAGCGTTCAGTTTGTGAAATGGATGAACGCATTACTGTGTCTTTTTTTCCTTATCAATGGCTCAACAAGGCCGAGTAACTCATCAAACGATTGCGCATCCATTAGGAAGAAGTTACAGAAGTTCTCAGGTTCGCTAATACGTAATTCTTTTAGAAGATTAGCATGTCGGAGGGTTCAGCGCTGTAATAACTAGTTCTTGGACCATTTCCGCCGTTTACGAGGTCTTTCATCCAAGTCCAAGGCAATTACAAGTGCTATGGCCACTGATACGTCCATGTCGAAAATTTTAATAAAACTGACTTTGGATTTTTTTTTTAAACGTGGATACGTGTGTGGGAAATTTTGCATCAAAATTCTGAATCACAATTTCCCATTAAAAAATTTGAATAAAAATTTTGACGACTTTTTTATCGTGTATGGGCCCCTTAACACTATAATAACAAGTTCAAATGTCACATAGCAAAAGCAAATATCCTTCACAAAGATTATTCAGCGTGAGAAGCATTTTAATGTGCTCAAACTGAGTTGACGACGGCCCTAAGCAGTATCCCTTTTGGGAGAATTTATCACCATCAATCATCAAATAAAATCCCGTGGATGCTTCCGCGGAAACAAATTCTGATAGGACTGAAGCAACCACACATCAATAATATGCAGTATGGCTGATGCAGAACATTTAGCGGTATGAATTTGCTTTCATCGATGAGACTGGTATCAAGCTGATGACGAAGTAAAACCGAGATAACAACAGGGAGGTCAATGCTTTGTTCCTGTAGTGTAGGGTTGACGGGGACTGAACCGCACGATGACATTTGCTGTCAGTGCTGAGGGTGGCCTGGTCTTTCACGACTTTCATGTAGGGCTGGACAATGAGCCGCTTTAGCAAAATCCGGATAATAATACTAGTGCTCCTCTTCGGCAAATAATACTATGTTACGAACCGCTTCGGCAACCTGGTTAGCATCACTTTAACAAATGGATGCACCCACTTCGGCAAACTGGTTAGGAAAGAGAGTTTAGAACCTGAAATCGGATAATGTTTTATTGAGAAGTATCTATTTACACTCCCCAAGAAAGGTAACCTGCAACTGTCTCAAAATTACCACACCATCAGTCTAATAAGCCACCCCAGTAAGGTTATGTTGAAGATAATGTTGAACAGATTGAAACCACAGGCAGAGAAGGTCATTGCCGAAGAGCAGGCAGGCTTTAGAGCAGGGCACAGTACAACAGAACAGATCTTCAACCTCAGAATACTGTGCGAGAGGTACCTCCAACACCAACAAAACCTATACCATATCTTTGTGGATCTTAAAAAGGCCTTCGACAAGGTCTGGCATGCAGCCTTATGGGCAACCATGAGGAAATATAACATCAACGCCAACCTGATCAACGTCATGCAACAACTATACGACAAGACCTCCAGCGCAGTCTACCTTAACGGCAGCATGGGGGATTGGTTCAGGACAACGGTCGGGGTGAGGCAAGGCTGTTTGCTCTCTCCCACCCTCTTCAACATCTTCCAAGAACGAATCATGACTGACACTCTGGAAGACCACAATGGAACAATCAGTATTGGAGGCAGGACAATCACTAACTTGCGTTTTGCCGATGACATCGATGGATTAGCAGGAGAAGAACAGGAGCTCGCCACACTAGTGGAGCGGCTGGACACAACCTGAGCAACCTACGGCATGGAGATCAGTGCCGAGAAAACCAAGCAAATGACCAATAACACCAATGGCATCAATGCGGACATCAAAGTCAGGGGCGAGAAACTTGAAACCGTCAACAGCTTCAAATACCTCGGATCTATCGTCTCAGATGAAGGCTCAAGACCAGAAATTCTCTCCAGAATCGCGCAAACAACAGCCGCGCTGTCAAAACTGAAGCCTATTTGGAGAGACAGAAACATCACGCACAGCTCCAAAATTAGACTAATGCGCTCACTGGTCATCTCAATATTTTTTATACGCCTGCAAGTCGTGGACACTAACAGCAGAATTAGAGAAAAAGATTCAGACCAGAGAGATGAGATGTTACCGCAGACTCCTTGACATCTCGTACAAAGACCACGTTTCAAATGCTGAAGTACGAAAGAGAATCACCAACGCAGTGGGGCAATATGAAGATCTACTGACCACAGTGAAGAGACGAAAACTAAAATGGTATGGGCATGTCACAAGATCCACAGGATTTGCCAAAACAATCCTTCAAGGAACCGTACAAGGAAAGAGAAAGAGAGGAAGGCAGAGAAGGAGATGGGAGGACAACATTACAGGGTGGACAGGAAAGACGATGGGCGATAATCTGAGGAGAGCAGTGGACAAAAATACGAGTAGATGGCGAGAGCTGGTTTTCAAATGCAGTGGTTCCCCAACGGTTGCCCTAACCACGGGATAAAAGAAGAAGAAGAAGAAGATCTAGTTATCCGGATAAGTTATCCGATTTTGCCCAACTCTACTTTCAAGTAGAGAGAATGGTAGCTATCATTTTAACCCATCCCTCTAAGAAACTGTTCCAATAATCCCCACAACGAAGTACGCTTGGTATGTAACAACGCTCGTGTATTAAGGCAAGCTTTAAAAGGCAACTCATCAATAGATTGGGGGGGGGGTGAAATATCTCCTCACCCCCCTAACACACATTTTCTTAACATTTACGAGAACGCTTGTGTTATCATAACCATTCTTACTTGTTCAAACTTGTTTATTTTATTTCAATTGTTTTTTCCCGTTTATTTTTTGCTTCATTTAACAGTTTCGTTTCATCAAATAGACTCGAGGTGAAATATCTTGCCACCTGCATACCTTGTCTTACCATCTATGAAAATGTTTCTTAATTTGGAAATACGATTTTGTGACGTGGGTAGCATAGTGGGTAGGCTATCGGAACTGTAATCGTGAGATTTGGGTTCAGGGGTTCGAGTCGCAGTACGGTCCGGCGCTGTGTCCTTTTGAAAGGCACTTTACTCGAATTTACCGTTTGGTTCGATCCTTTCGAAGATAGACGTTGATCTCGAAGGTCCTGCCTCTTAAATAACCTAATTCTACCATTTCACCATAATTTTGAAACATTATTTTTTTGGAAATACAATTTGAAACAGATGTTCGCTAAAGCAAGATACTAAAATATAATCACTCAGCAGACTCACCAACAAAGGATGGTAACACTTGCACAGTTGACCGAACATTTAACCCAAGCCGTGACTATAGTGAAAATGGCAGCACAGTCTTCCGATCAATGCAAGCCTGAATGCCACAGCGTTTTGTTGTGCAACAATAAATAAATAAAAATAAACCTGGTTTTACGTTTCTTTCAGTTCATTATATATACACCAGCAGTTTGTTGATTTTTATCATAACCATTCGTTTTTGTTTATGTATGTGAGCTTACTTTCGGTTAATAAAAAAATTAACAATTACTTTCGTTTCACGTGATTTCTTCCTTGTGGCATCACATAGTTTACATCTAACATTTTTCGGAGCAAGAAAAAACAACAAACCCTTTTACTTCTTACTTCGATATACTTTCTTATACTTTTGGCCTCTTTTTTTCTCCATTTCAAGCATATTTACATTTGAAATTGCTATGGGGCATTTGAATTTGCTATGTGCTACATTGAGATTTCTATCTTTTGAACCTGCTATTGTTGTATAAGGACCTTTTATGACGTCATTTGTATATTTTTGGATTTGTTAGGTGTGATTTGGTCTTTCTATGAGGCACTTGAATTTGTTATGTGTATATTTGAACTAATAAAAAAACAACTTTATTATGTTTTTTAAAAAAATTCTTTACGTTGCCGAAAGTGGACTTGGCTTTGGGGTTTTAGATACGTTATTTTTTTTAGTTTTTTAGTTAAAGTAAGTAACCTGCTCTAGGTGATAACATGTTTAATACAAAGCAATAGATACATGAGCACTTCAAATGTTAAGTGCTGTAAAGAAGAGAGAAAGAGAGAGAGAGAGAGAGAGAGAGAGAGAGAGAGAGAGAGAGAAAGAGAGAGAGAGAGAGAAAGAGAGAGA